TGCAGTTGCCCATGTTGCAGCCTCATCTATTGCATTACTCCATTCGTTATCTCCATCAAGTAATCCTCTAGCTTGACAAGCATCTTTGAATGTCTTATGTTTAATCTCGTCAACAGTGTAAATTTCATCATAACTCCATGGTCCTTTTATGATGTTTATTAACATCCTTAAATAATAAAGCTCTCCGGCAGTTGGATGGATGTTTACAACTCAACCGATAGTCAATCCTTGTTTTCCTGGAGTCCAATATTTGCCTGTGTTATTCCATACGTACATTGTTGGGAATTCAACGTACGTCAATTGTCTTGCCTCGTCGTACTGTTTGTTAGTCTTCATCCATTCAGTAAACATTGTTTCCCTTGTGCCAAGTCTTGAGACAACCCTTTCAAGATTTGTCGAATCATCAAATATCAAACTTTGTTGATTGGGGAGATGTATTGACAATCTTAAGACTGATGGTTTTTTGTAATGTATATGAAATGACAATATTCTCCACGTTGCCTCACATGCAGATAGATATCGGCATTCTAAATAGTCATCTATCTCATTGATCCGATGCACACACTCTTTATTTTTATCAGTCCCTTGTATTGCGTCTGTACCATTCTGAATAACGATAGTTGCCTTGTCCACGTCTTTTGTTATGTACTTGAATAGATATTTGATTGCTGTCGATTTGCAACACCATTCAACATTGATGTGTGCCTTGTACTTCTTCAGAATCTCTAAATTATGTGGCACCACAAAACGGTTATCTAATTTAACATCTCCTTTCATCACAAACTTTGATGCATCATTCTGACGTCTATATATGATATACCGTGATTTATCGACAGTTGTATACTCTGTATAAGCACGTGGGTATCTTTTCGTACATAGTCCTTTCTCCATACATGGTGAACGTGGTCTATCCGAGCCACACGGGCCATGCATCATATGTTGTTCAACTAATTTGAATCCTTCATAATCAGTTTCTTTATCTGGCAACTCTGCTGAAATCAGTTGATCAATGTCTGTTGCTGTAGGACTCTTGTACATAGGATCCAACCATATAAGTATATGGGCATGAGGTAAACCATGCTTTTGAAATTCAACGGTGTATATCACTGCAAACATTATGATAGAAAATGTTTCACACAGTTAGTATAGTGATATTCCATAATGTATTATCGATTAAAATTTTTCTGTTATAATATATGACGTAAACTATTGTTTACCTGCAATTGGTTTAGGGGAAAAGACGCCTTCATTAAAGTCGGATAATATGTCATCTAATTTCATCTTGAAGACAGGACATACAATATCTGGCCTATCAATTGCAGAATCACCACCATATGCCTGTAGATGATCAAATATCTCTAGCCATTTTGGATTTGCCGTAAACGTCACAAAAAGGTCAGGGTTCCCAAGCCATCTACATATAGCCATTGCATCATGGTAATTTTCGACCATGTATCGTGGTCCCCCGGTGAATGAAGGAGGCAAGATAACTCTTCTTCCAAGAACTTTAGCATTTGTGTCTCATTTGTCTACTGCATCAAAAACATTATTGTAAAGATCTGCTCTTAATGTCTTTTGGTTGTTTCTGGTCCACCTTATTCTCTCTTGTTCAATTGTAGTATACGCATCAACAACATACTCCTGGAATAGACGACCGGCTTTAACAATTATT